GTGCTAGTCACGGTAGCGCTGCAGGGTGGCGAGTGAGCGGTCTCCGAGACCTGGTGCGGTGGGAATACCCGTGAGGCTGCCGTTCGGCCGGCGTGCATGCATTCAGAGAACACCGGTGACGGTCGCGGCCGGTGAGGGCCTGCGGTACATCACCGGCAGTGATTGAGGCCGGCGGGAGGCGTACTCAATGACCCGGCGGCTGAGGCGTCATTTGTCGGCCGGCAGCCAAGGTTGGCTGCCAGCTGCCCCGAGTGAAGGGCAGGACCGTCGCGTAGTTTGTACATTCCAGAAAATACAGTCGCGTATGTTCCACGCGAAGCCATGTCTTTCCGCGGCAATATCGCGACAAATCGGCATTTTGAAGCTCTGACACCACAACGAGAACCTTTTCCCTGGCACATGGACAGACAGCCCGAACTGATCAACCACGGCTCCCCGCCTCTATTGCGCCGAAAGTCAGGGGCGCGTTGCGCAACGTGTCGCGCGCTCCCCGCACGGTGTACGCTGAGAAAGGCCTGCTTGGACGTGGACGGCCGGGTGCTTTGCCTTGGCACGTCGGCCCGTCTTGCGTCACAGAGACCGCAGCGCCCCGCCCCGCCGCTGGAGGAGCCAGCAGGTGAACTTGGCGGCGAGGCGCGCCCGATTCAAAACGGGAGGAGGAGGGGTGGGAGGCCACCACAGAGCAGGGGGAGGAAGCACGATGGGAGTAATGTACGAGGGTCTGACGGGCATCGAGAAGGAGAGCGGCGAAGCGGAGGGCGGGCGGGGAGAAGACGGTGAAGGGTGGGTGATGGGAAGACACCAAAAAAAAAACAATAGCGAGAAGCGAGGGAGCGCAAGGGACACAGAACTGCGGAAAACAAAGCAGTCAAGGAAAGGAAACGGATAACGATAGAGAGCACGAGAGAGGGAGAGAGAGATGAGAGTCGAGGCTAACGCGTGCCCGGGAGAGGGGTGTTTCACACGCACGTGCCCGGCAGCGAAGCGAAGCCGGGCTTTCACCGCCCGTGCCGACGCCGACAGCCGGTCACCCTCGGCGGGCCCGGCAGCCAGCTGTCACGCGTCTCCAGGCGCCAGCGGCGCGCGGTGGCGAAACGCGCGTGGCGGCGGCCGCCCCGAAGGCCCCGTCCTCGGAGGCGGGGCCGTCCGCGCCGCACCGCCGGGTGGTAACGGCGGCGCGCGCCTGGGGAGGGCGCGAAACGCAACGCTGGGGAGAGCGCGCCGTAAGGGGGGGGGGGGGGAGGGGCGGCGCGCGACGACGCGGGAGTACGCGACTGCAGACGAGCGCGTGATCACCGGTGGGTGTACGAAGGGAGAGAGCGGGAGATGACGGGAAGGGCACGGAGAGCTGATAGCCCGTGACACAGGTCAAGTCTGTACGCTCAGAAAGTGGCCGGGAGTGGACGAAACCACCATCGATTGCGACTTGAACAGCGTAGAAAAGACAGACGGGCTTGAGACTAAGCGTGAACATCGTCAGAATCATCATGCTGCGACAATGTTTTTTTTTAATACAATGTAACCATTTCATCTTTCTAGCTTTTGTTTATCGTTTACACCTAATACCCCTTCATAACTACAGTTATTATGCCTTCATTGCAAATAACATTTAAAAATCAAATGTTGCGGGACAAATCCCTCCACTTGGTCCCTGTGCCCACGACACGGAGCAGCAATGCAGTAAGGACTCACCATCAGCGTCCATTCACGCTGGCGTGCCCAGCCCTTGAGTGTCCTTATTCACTCGAAGAGTGCCCGAGTGGTCGTCCCCGCCGCGATAGCATGATATCAGTCAGGGCTCGTGTGCGCACGTCCGTGCGTATGTCAACACATGATGGCATCGACATGGCACGCGCTTCCTGTGTCTGTCACCTTCGCCGAACTCCGGCAGGTACAAGCAGACAATCGTCCAGGCAGCAGTAACCCTACCGGGGGCGAGATAATCATCTTACTTGTTTGCGTTTATATCAGGTAGCATCGAGACCTCGCAGAAATGACCCATTTACGGCGCCGCGTCGTACATCGCCCGAACCGCGGGGGAGGACGACGCTGACGTCACTCCATCGACGCGGTATCGCCCACCCGGAGCCGACAGGTCCTGCCGGCCGCTCGCTACGCGGGAGCCCCGGCGGACGGCATGACGCGCGGCGACGCGGCTCACGGACCTCCACGTTCCGTCCCCCTTCCCCCTCCCCCTCCCCCAATCACGGGACCCGGGCCGGTCTGACTCACAGCGCGCCCGCCGGTCGGACCGGACGCCACGGGCGTGCGTCCGGGGCGGCCGGCCGGCTCGCCGGTGACCCGATGACGGCGGCGCGCGCCGTGAGTCACGCGCTGTGTCGGCGTGAGGCGGCGTGACTCACGCCGCGCTGGCGTTGACTCAGGGCTGGAGGGCGGGCCGGCCACGCGGCGACGTCCCCGTCCGCCGGCCGCCCGAGCCGGGTCCGGGCCCACCTCGACCACCAGCCGGGACAGGGGGCCCGTCCCGCGCCGACCGCCGCCCGGCCGCCAGCGACCAGAGCGAACGAGGGTCCCCATCGACCAGTCGCATGCCTCGTCAGGCGCCAGCGCGCCACGTGTTCCCACACGTCAGGTGGGGCGGGGGAGGGGGCGGGCGCGGTCCGAGGCCGTATCCACGGGGGGCGGGAGCGCGCGCCGGCCCGCCGAGCGCCATCACCAGCCCGGCGCCGCGTGACGCAATCGCTCCGCCCAAGTCGGCGCCGGTTTCAGCGGCCCCTCCGCTTCCACCAAAGGGAGCCAGAGCCAGCCCTGTCAGTCGGACCCTCCGCTTCACCCGATATGTCAGCCCCGGTCCCGACCGGACGTCTCCCCCCCCCCCCCCCCCCCCCCCCACTCCGTCGCCTGCCCCTCTCAACTCGGCGCCCGCCGTCCGCACGCTGCCGCCGCCTGGCAGAGGCGCCATGACGTCACAGCCCGGGCCGTGACGTCACAAGCTGCAGCAGCTTCCGTGGCCGGTGGGCCCGGGTTCGCCGGACTTTCCGCGCGCGGCAAACAAAGAGCTGGCGGGGGCGGGGCGGGGGGCGGGGGCAGCGTCGGCGGGCCCCCGTACCGACAAACACTACTGACCGCTCCAAGGACGCGGTCATTGCGTACACCCAGCCGCCGCCGCCTCCCGGACGCGCTGCCTCCGCCCGTCCGGGCCGCCCCGACCCTGGCCGGGGTCCGTCCACGGGTCGCCTGGTGCCAGCAGCTGCGCAGATTGTGCCCTGGCCCCTGGCCGCCTCCGCGGCAGTAAGCAAGCAGGGAATGTGGGGGGGGGGGGGGGGGGAGAGGGTGCTGGACCGCGCAGTTCCGCCCCAGGCTTGCAGCGTGCTGAGCAATCTGCCACCAACGGCCCAGCGACGACGCGCGACTTTCACAAGCGCTGAGTCAGTCCCGGCTCCCGGATGTGCATCATCGACCCCATGGAAGAGAAATCGAATACCTGACCCAACCTGGTCGCCTGCGCAGTGGCGCGACGGAGCTTGCACGAAACCCTCGACGGCACCCCGTCATCCCTCCCCTTCCGCCAGCGGCTGGCGCCCCCCGTCAGTCTCGCGGGTCCACAACTTGGGCTCCCCCTCCCCCGCGGCCGCCGCCACCCCGCCACCGCGGCCCGAACGCGCCGGCCACGTGGATTTTCGCGCCAAATCCCGGCCCGGCCGCCGGCGTGCGGCGGGAGCAAAGACCTTCCCGGGAGGCGAAGGTCCGGCTCGACTGCAGGCCGCGCCCGCGCGCGGTCGATAGCAGACGTGAACAAAGCCGAGCCGCGCCGGCCCGTCGCCGGATTGGCGCGCCGCTGGAAGGTCGGTCGCGACAAGCAGGGGTGGCGGGACAAGAATAACCTGACAGAGGAACCATACAAAGAGGGTTTAATCTCCGCGCAGCAGGAGGTGGCACCGTCGCCGGTCGAGAGGCAGCACGCCGGTGCCCGGTGCGGCCGCCGCCCCCGCAGGTCCGGCTGGGGTCAGCCGAGCTGCGTCGGTTCGCTAGCGGCGCACCATCGGCACCGTTATCGCAGCCCGCTGCGCAGTACCGTCGCTCCGACGCGTGTTGACATGGATAAGTGTGCAGAGTCCGCTCGGTGGACGGCGCGGGGAGGGCGGGGAGGGGGGGGGGGCGGCCGCTGGACTCCCGCGGAGCGCAGGTGGTAGTGGCGGCGGCGGCGCCGCCGCCTCCCCTCCCCTCGCTTCCCTTCCCTTGCCGCCGGCCGGCTGGGAGGGACGGGCAGCATTTAAAGCCTGGCGGGCCGAGGGGCGCCAGACGAGTTAAAGGCCCGGACGGCGGGACTGCAGGAATGTGAGGGCGAGGAAGGGAGCGCCTCCCCCCCCCCCCTCCCGGCAACCTGTCATTAGCGCCGCGCGCGGGGGGCGGAGCGGGCCGCTCGGTGCGGGCCCGCGCAGGGGCCGCCGGGACGGCGGGAAGAGCGCGCCGCGGCGCCAGCTGACGACACGCCGTGGCGGGAAACCACCGGCCGGGTCGAGCCCGGATTTCCCGCGCCTGCGCCTGCCGCCGCGCTGCCGCGGCGGCCCAGGCCGGGGCGCCGGCGGGCGGAGGCGAGTACGGCCCCTGAGTGGTGAATTGTACAACTTGGGAGAGGCACGCTCTCCCCAAAGCGTTGCTCGCCCCCCCCCCCCCCCAATATCCAACCATAATCGTCAGGATTAAATGATGCAAATAAAAAGCAGCAAGAAACGAAATATGTCGGTGTTAATGTCCTTGCCCCATGAGGAGCTCTGCAGCGCGCACGGTGGCAGGGCCATGCAGTGACCACCTCCAACCTGACCCCACGACGGCACACTGGGCGTGTGTCGAGTCCTCTGTCTCTTCCCCCACCAACACCGTTTTCATGCCGATGTGGACGGTCAAACGAGAATGAAAAACGAGACAAACCGCAAGCTATCAGATTGTCTAGTCAGCCGTTTGCAAGCTGTCATGCATCCGCCACTGTCAGCAGCCGGAAACGAGTTGGGAACATTTCAGTCATCGACGTGACTAACCTGTGTGTGTTCTCTGGTGTGCCTTTAGATGAGAGCTCTTGCCATATATTTTGTCGCATCCCCCGTGACTGCACTTGTACGCCTTCTCCTGCTTGACGATCTTCGTGCGAGTCTGCTTCGGTTTGCGGGCGCGTTTGACCGGTTTCGGCGGGTCTTCCTCCTCGGTGATAGGCTCCACCGGCTCCTCCTGACGCACGTGAGCCAAGTCCGAGAGGATGCGTGCAATCTTGAACGCAGACTCCTGGTTCATGGCGTGCAGCTTGTGGTGCTTGGACATGGACATCTGCACGAGCGCCGTCGCCGCCAGTTGCATGTCGTGCCATTCCTCAGCCGTGCAGGAGGACGTCATCATGTCACCGCCCAGATCAGATCTCGGCATCCCACACCGTCACGCCCGCTAGCTAGCCTGCTTGCGGATCACCACCCTCTCACTCCCGCCCAGCGCCCCCGACGACCGCCGACTGAACTGCGCGCCGCCTGCCGTCAGCTGAGGAGGTCCGACCGCGGACCGAGCGCACCTGGCGAGTGGGCGTGCCCAGCTAGAGCCGCAGGTTTACAACCCGGATATAGCCCGGGGATGGGTTCTGGAGGTTTTAATGAAATTAGCCAAGAAAATGCCATTTATATATCAATTAAACACATAAAAACTGTTGCTGATTCAAAATAAGGAAGTTTTAAACTGCTCGTAGCCCGCTACTTCCAGATAAACAACAGCCCTTACAGAAAATCCGATGGTTCTAGACGTTGTAGACCGCTACTGACATCTGTTGTGTGGTGTCGCAACTAGTGTATTGGATGTTGAGCAAGGTCAGCCCTGCCCGAGGCCGAGGTTCCCCGGGAATTGCATAACGACAGAAGCGACGACGACCGCCGCGCCTACTGGCGGTGACGAGCGGCGAAACACGTGCCATGAGGCGGAGGTGTTCACCGCTTGCACGGCGCAGTCAGCCTGGGTGAGAACTCAGGTCATCGAGTCCACGCAATGACGTGGAAGCTTTGGAGGGGTGGGAGGGGTGCAGAACGACACAGTTTGGGTTTGTGAACGGTCATGGAGTGGGTCGCACGCATGAGTAAATCATTAATGATATGCTGAAATTGCGCGGTAAGCTTTAAATTGCCCGCTCTCTCGACGTTTGTATTATTATTAGTGCAATAGCAGTAGCGAATGAGCAAAGCGGCAGATGTTCAGATGACAAGTCACAGAGAGTAAAGGAGTGGTCACCACATCGAGTGTTTTTTCCTCCGTTTGGCTGGCAAATTCGGCTGCCATTTAATGGTTTCGGGTTCGAATCCCGGTTGCGCTTTAGCCCCTGAGCGTTTGTGCGGCCATTGCAGTTGCTAGTTTGCAACAAAGGAGTGAATGATGGCGTGTGTTTATTTCTTCAACAGCTAAAAATCGTATAGTCGAAAATGTGCGTCACGCGGGAAAAGCAGAAAAACCTCAAGTAACCACAATACGACTGAGAAACTTAAAAAGTGTAACTAACTCGGCCTGGTGCATTAAACTGGACATGATATTGCAGTTTCCATTTTTGTTGGTCCTTTTACCTGTCAAATGATACGAAGAAGCCTTCTACAAGTTTGATATAATTTGACCGAACTTCGAACTTCTATTTGTAATGTCCTGCGTGCCCTTTGGCTCCAGAGGGTCGGGGGGGGGGGGCAAACTCGCTATTAGGGGCCAGATCGGATTTTATGGGGGAGGTGGCAATGGCTCATCGAAAAGAATATAAATCGACACACGTGGAGCCAATCCCTTCCATAAACTTCCACTTGTACCTACAAGGCATATGTTCAAGATCCGAGGCGTTTCGTTCCTGTTCTCAATCTTCGATTACTCCAACGCTTTTAATCCTCCCCCTCCCCCTCCTCCCTCTCAGCCGGCTAGCCGCAGATCGCCGCGCAGTGTTCGTCAAAAACCGCCCCTGCTCCGAAATCATAAAGAGCGCAGCCGAAAACCGCTAGGGGAAAAACCAAAGGACAAAATCACTAGGGACGCGTTTTGTGTCAAAATATATGCAATAGTTGCCCCATAGACTACCAAAAGCTAAAGTGCGATTGCACGACTTCCCGGAGAGGTATCCTTGATAAACCTTAAGGGGCCGCATCGCCCCCCCCCCCCCCACACACACTTATCAGGGCGAGTGGTAAGGCGCCAGGGCAATCAAACATTTTGGCACGCCCCTGTCCCACTCCACACTTTCAGAGACATTCTTATTCATATGTGTACCTTATTAACAGGACTCATAATTCCAACTTCAACTTTGAGTCGGCCCAGGACTTGGGATCCGAACCAGAAAACCTGCGCTCCATCGGGCTTCAGTGACTTAACAAAATTTGCTCACCGTGCCCAGCATCGTTTCGACCTTTCGGCTAATCCATGCGGGTCTGAATGACGGCACCGCGCAAAGCCGTGCGCACGCGGCGGCATTTGTTTATGTGTACGAGTGTTCTGATGCGTTCGTTTGGTATTTCGCGCGCAGGTAAGAAAACTTTTCTAATCTGGTAGCATTACAACAGTTTTTCTAGGAGTGGAATTTCCACACCTGCTGGAATAAATACGCAACGTGCTCATCACGCAAGACCCACCAAATCAAACTCCCGCCTCTTTGTCGGAGTGACTTTTTAATCTGGTAGTGCTAATCCCTCCATGCTGACAGGCTGACAAAAAGGATGCGTTCGATCTGTCGTCACTATGTTTGTTAGCGCCAGTCACTGCTCAGTGTTCTCCCCACGTCACGCCACCTGACCACAAAGAGACATGGTCTGTGACGTCATGCGCCGGCCGACGATGATGCCAGAATTGTTTGTAAGCCCGTCAGTATATATGGACAGAATGCGCTACCAGACTTAAAATCACTCTGACAGAGAAACGGCTGCTTGATTTGGTAGCTCTTGCGTTGGCGCGTACGTTAGGTGAGGTGGGGCACTTGTCTCTAGTTTTGGGGAAATGCGTCAAAAGATAGATAAGGGGGGAATTTAACTGCCAGTTGTAACCATGAATGGATGAGTGATTGGTGCTGTGTGTGGTTACGTTCCCCATTACATTAATGGCGTAAGGAGTGAAAACTAAAAACGAGAAGGGAAGAAAGTAAAATGAATTAGGAATGGGAAGAAGCACTTAACTTACGGATGGGATAGATGATGATGATGATGACAGATGATGGTAATAGCGGAGCAGGAGCCACACTTCCAGACAACACTTTACAGGCAGTGAGTGTCGTGGTCGGCGGTAGCATGTGGTCTGAAGTAGTTAAAAACGTTAAGGAAAAAGGGAAGGTAACGTTAAAAGGCTTCAACGTCAGCCCACACATCGAACGCTTCGTCAGCACGCATGACGCCACGCATTGCAGCTGACAATCACGTGACGTCACAGACCACGGTCTTGATGGCCGCGTGACGTGACGCAGAGCCGTGCTTGGTGCTGACATACGTGCTGACGCCAGATCGAACGCGACCCTGGTAGTGTGCGTCCTGGGTAGCACGTGGTACCTGATGCCGTTAACGCTCGGGACCCCCAGCGAAGCGCAGGCCTGCGGATTAACGGCGCGGTGGGCTGGCGCGGGCGTCCGGTGTAATTACCAGGCTAGGGGACTTCGAGCATAACTGGAGATCCATCAACTGCTGGCAGGTGAAGGGAGTGCCCACAGGACGCGGTCAGGATTTGCGTCGGTGAGGGTCTCGGGGCTTGTGACGGGATGGGGTGGGGGGGAAGGCTAGAATTATTTTTAGCTCCCAGCCCCAGCCCTGTTTTCCGGAACCTCCGCACTGTGAAAAGACTTCAGAGACGCGTCTCTCTCTCTCTCTCTCTCTCTCTCTCTCTCTCTCTCTCTCTCCTCTCTCTCCTCTCTCTCTTCTCTCTCTCTCTCTCTCTCTCTCTCTCTCTCTCTCTCCTCTCTCTCTCTCTCTCTCTCTCTCTCTCTCTCTCTCTCTCTTCTCTCTCCCTCCTCATCTCTCTCTCTCCTCTCTCTCTCTCTCCTCTCTCTCTCTCTCTCTCCTCTCTCTCTCTCTCTCTCTCTCTCTCTCTCTGTTCCCCTGTCCCTCTTTCTGTCTCCCTGTCTCCCTCTCCCTATATGGCTCTCTGATGATGTCCTGATGATTATGCTATCTGGCATGGTCGGCCACCGAAGGTGGCTGGTGACACATTGTGCCAGACGGTTAAGGTGATTTAGGAGAGGCGTAAATTTGCAGCTTAAACAATGCATTAAGGTTTGGTTGGTTATTTATTTATTAAACTTTACGTACTAGCATCAATCAGCATTTCAGCACCACGCTGCTCCTTTTCCCATCAGAAGGCTGCTCATAACTGTTTTTTATGATAAACGGTTTCTAAACGCAGGTTTAACACATGTTCTGCAAGACATGGCCCGACAAGACGAACTTAGTAAGAGAGGAGACACTGCGGTTTAAGGAGTGCATTCTGATCAGAAGGCCCGGTGATATTGCCGTTAGCGTAAGTGTCATGGTATGCGACTCATCGGTGATTTAGTAAACAAACAGGGGAGAATTTTGACGCCCTCCGTTACGCGCCAAATATCCCAACCGTAGTGTTGGCATTTTTATACCAAGGCCTTGCTAATGCCATCACAACAAGATGGAAGGCTGTTTTGCGAGATGGAAGACTGCATACATTTTTGTCTATGTGGGCGAGAAAATTTAAAGTTGGCGGTAAATTAGCGATGCAACAGAAGCCATTAAAAGCTTTACCAACAATATATATATATATATATATAATATATCGCTTGGGATCAATGACTAGCAAACCAAAACCGTTGCAGAAAGTGAAAGCCGAAGGGGAAGCTCCAAAATTTTGGCCCGAACATCTTGAAATAACTTTCTACTGCAGTGTGTCTTCTAAGCTCAAGTTGCTACAATTTCAGGCAGTGCACAGGTATATTCCCAGCGAGCGGTTTTTGTATAGAAAGCGCATCACAGACTCACTGCAACGCACGTATTGTGGAAGAGATGACAATCTGACTCATTATCTCATTAGCTATCAGTTGTTTCATGCATTTTGGTAAGCTGTATCTCTGGCCATCATCCTGTGTGTGAGGCCTAGCCGTATTATACTTCACACGCACATGGCTGTATATGGTGTGAGGAATGCTTCATGTGCGGTGGATCTTGTTAGCTTGCTGTCCAAATGATAAACACACAAACAGCGGTTGAATGGAAGTCATTTTGCTTTAGGTGGTCTTCGACCGCAAATCAAACAATTCTTTCATGCCGAGCGAAAGATAGCCTTTGGAACCGAGAGTCAGAATGCAGCGAATTATAAAAAATGATAATGTTTTCTGATGGAGAGTGGCACGTCTGTATGCTACTTCTCTGCATGTTACGCAGAGGTGCGGGAGGCGGCTTGCGGCTTCCGTCGCCGGCTCCAGCCAGAGTGGTCTCCCGGCAGCGCTGCCGCCCCCGCGCAGTCCTGTCAAACAGCTTTGTCAGGCGGCGCCGCGGCGGG